TTTTTTTTTTGAGGGAACTGGGGATTGAACCCAGGCCCTTGTGCTTGCCAGGCAAGTGGTTATTCTACTAAGCTATCTCCCTGGCCCTTCCTTTTCTTTTTTGAGACAAGGTCTTGTTTGCGTATCCTGGGCTGTCCTTGAACTTGTGGTGATTCCCCTGCCTCAGCCTCCTGAGTGCTAGGATTATGGGTATGCACCCCTATGCCAGGCTTTTATTTTAAAATTTTTATTACCCACAACTATAATGTCATTTAATTTATTATTAATGTCAATGGTTCTATTTTTTAATTAATCTTGGTTCTTAAATTATTTCTTTAATAAGTTCATTATATTAAAATGCTAAATAAATAATTTAATTCAGGGATATAGCACAGCGGCACAAGCGCCTGCCTGGAAAGCATGAGGTTCCAGGTTCAATCCCTGGTACCACCAAAAAAAAAGTTGTGGGCTGTGGAGACAGCTCAGTAGAATAAGGGCCTGCCTGGCAAGCTCACGGTCCTGAGTTCAGTCCCCAGTACCGCAAAAATAAAAACAACAGTGCTTATGAGCAGGCAAGTGAGAAATTTGAACACCTGCGTATGTGCAGGCTTGGAGTTTCTAAAATGTTTAATGCGTTACTTTACACCCAAGGACATTGTTTTCCCCTCTTGTTCAGTCCAAAACTAGAATCTTTGGATACTAAATTCAGATTCTAGGTTTAGTTAGATAGACAGGAGTTCTGTAAGTCATTATCATTCTTAGGTGAAGTCAGTAGTTTGTCACTGGCCTAAAAAAACCATTGGAATTGCCGATTCATTCCCTCTCCTTTTTCCCTTCTCCCTCTCCCTCCCGCCCCCTTCTCCTTGCTTTCAAGGTCTTGCTATGTAGTTCAAGCTGCCTTTGAACTCTCTCTGTAGTCCAGGCTGGCCTCGAACTGGCAGAGATCCTCCTGCCTTGGTTTCTTTCATGTTGGGATTACACCATGCCTAGCTGAAGTCATTTCTATCCAGACAAGACAGGAATAATACGGTTAAGTTACTGATGATAAAGCTGATTGGATTACAAAGGAACATAAAATTTTTATCTGATGGGAAATACTCTTGATTGACAGGAAAATTCAACTTAACTGGAAAAACTAGTACTTCTGAAAGGTTACCAACCACTTCAGACACCTTAACTCTCGCTCTGAGGGTAGATGTACAAGTGTACGTTTGTGACAGGAACACAGAAAGCAAGGTGCAGCTAGGACAGGAGCCAGGATGGCTGCCCCACTGCTTTCTCCTGCCCCTGCCCTACCGCAGTGGAGACCTGGAGGTGCCTGGGACACCGTAGTAAGGATGAGCATGAAGATGTGGCTGGTGATCGCTGGGTGACACAGCACCTGTCCGAATGCAAGCAGCGCCACCCGCAGTCCTGTGTTTCCAAGACCTTGAATCTCCCTGAATACAGACTACACACAGCAGGCCCACTGTGCCGACAAGGGGAGAGTGCACTGCACCCCTCCCGTGAAAACCAGAGCTAGGCCAGCCTGCAGGGGAGACCTGGGGCGGTAACTACCTTTGTCACCAGGCTGGCTGCTCACATTCCCCTTTATCAACATAATGGCTAAAAGGAAAAATGGTGGTCTGCTTTTTCCCTTCCTGCTCATTTCTCATTACAGAGCAATCAACAGAATTTAAGATTTAGAGGATGGGGGGCCACTTCAACTCATCCCACTCGGCCCCCCAATTCAGCCTCAGAAATTCAGCTCGCCATCTGTAATCTAAAGCATTTCTGACATGCCTGGTTAAGGGCAGGTGACAAAACAGGCTTTTCAACTTGCTTCCGTGTGAAAAAATGAAGTTTAGACAAGGAAATAAACCAACTGACTTGCCTCTGAAACACCTTTTATCACAAAGTATTTATTCAACAAAAATAATATTACAGTAAAAATGATACATATATGAAAGTGAATGAAAATTTGCAATAATAATAGAAAAGATGTGTACAAAGAGACCAACATTCAGGGTATATAGTTCCAACAAACAGCTGTATCACTTTAACACTGCTCAAGCAAACCTAAAAGAGGAAGAAGTTAATGGGTTTTTTGAACCTAAAACAACACACACACACACACACACACACACACACACAAGGCAGGGTTGTAAGAGCTACTCTTTAATACCTCCAGTTTTATTTGCATTACAGCAAAGACTTTGATCCATTAAAATGATGCTTTTTCATTTCTGATAATCATTATCTAGTATACATGTTAATCACAGTATTGGGGAGAAAAGAAAATAATCAGGCTTATAGTCATTTAAGTATTTCTAATGAACACTGGCGTGCTAAGACTATATTTTAAAAAAAGTATTCGCCTTTGAAATTTTTGCACATTAAGTTCCCTAAGTTCCTTTATAAGAACCTTGCATTTTGGATGTGTTCATGTGTTTTTTTACCTAACATAATTTTTGGACCAGTAGTTCCGTACAGCTGGGCTTCAGGGGAACGAGGGAGCACTACTGGCATCTGCCACTGCGCTGTCCTCCATGAGCTGGGTGGCTCGAGGCAGCCCACAGCTGCTTCTGGGCACTTGAAACCAGGTAGAGGGTCTCCTTCTCAAAGGCCCCTTCTAGCCTTCACGTTCCCATTCTGTGATTACCAGTTCCTTTGTTTTAGTACAGAATTATTACCCAATGAGTGAGTGACATAGTTGTCATATTTGTGGATCTTGGAACCAGTCCCATTACTTTATAGTCAGAAGTGTATTGGAGTGTTTGAGATTTTTTTTTTCCCCCCTTGGTAAGAACACCCATATCCACATACAGAAGTGTTCATTTCCAATAGAAAATTTATTGTATAAGTATCTGAACATAATTTTTAAATTTTTTTGAAAATTTAAGACATTTTTTTTTCCATAATCCCTACCTTTTAAATGCCCGTTGTTGGTTTTGTTTTGGATCAGTTACTTAGTCATACTTCAAATTGGTTTCTGTCAGTTATAGTTAAGGATTCTAGTTAACCTAGTTTTGAATTTGAAGCACCAGGCACTTTCCAGCTCTCCTATTTTGATCTGAGTCTTTTTATTTCATGAATAAGTAGTGCCTCTTGAAGTGGTGTTTACTGATTTTTTGAAAGAACAGAAAATATGTTTCTGTCACCACCATTCTGAGCTACACTACACAAAAGAACTGACTGCAGACTATTCCAAATTGTTACATAATCAGATGATGAGGTTCCTGAAGAATTTTTCTTTTATCAGATTTCCTTCATTCTCACCGTAAATTTAGTAATATGTAAAACAATGCATCCTGTTCCAACCTCCACAGGCAAAGCGTCCAGGACTTCCAGTTCTGTATTTGTGATACAGTGCATCTTTTGACCATCAGAAATTGTGAAAACCTACACATGCAAAGATTACTAGAAGGCCCACATTGCTTCTCTGTTGGAATTTATCACCAGTCTGAGTCTCTTCCAAAACACTAGAGTTTTTTTAAAAATACTAAAGTTCTAGGGAATTAAAGAAACTCTAATTCCCATTGACTGAGTTAAGTATCTGAGGTTTTCTATGGAAAATACGGCGGTGAGGGCTAATTTTATAAAATAACATGCTCATCTAGAAAGTATTCTGGGGGTATTAGATATTGTGAACTTGTAGCTTTTAATTAGAACAGGTAAAAGGCTATCCTTTCAAAGTTCATTTTTTAAAATGCATTTTAGAACATTTTCATTTATGAGGGCTTGTTATCTAAATATGGCTTAGTTTATTTTTATAAAAACATTATTTGACATTACATTTACTGAATTTCTTTTTAAAAGAGGTTCTAAGGCAATTCTACAATTGAAAGCAAAAATGAAAAAGTGATACGGATATGTTTTCATATTTTGCCTACTGGTGAAAAATAACAAAGTTCTACTAGAGATCTGCTCAATACTAATTTTTGTCTTTCAAACATTTTCTCTTAATACTAAAAAATATATAAATCATTTACATAAAAGTAAATGCAAAGGAAGGCACAGCTGGTTATAGTACATATATAAGCACAGTTCAGCATAGGCAGAATTACAGAAAAAAGCTTCACATCCTTATTAGTTATACTGAAAACATTAGGAAAAGTTCTTCACTGTCAACAGTGTTCAACACTTAAGAACTAAGAGGATATAAAAACAAAAACATTAAAATTCACTTAATGTAAAACAGATTTTCATATATACTTGAATATATAAAAAAACAGTTTTTAAAATGCTAACACAAGTCTGAACTATCCATGTTATGAAAAGTGCAAACCAAATTAATAGAGAGTTTCACAATGTCCTTCTCCTGACACAGGTAAACTAGCCCATGGGGATAAATTGGTTTCATCAGTTAATGAGTCCTTAATGGTGGCCAGACGTCATCAGGATTTCTGAGAGCTCGACGAGAGCAGTACTGGAGAAGCAGCTCTGTCCAGACCGGGGATTGGCACTGGCATGTGGCCATTGAGCAGTGTGGGGAACTGGAGGGGACAAAAGAGTTTGAAGATTAGTATTCTAAATCCAGTGGGAAGAACTTGGATCCCCTGTGTTCCTAGACGGCCCGCTGCAGTCTGGTTCCCCCATCGTGTCTGTGGTGGAGGTTAGTTGCCATCTGTTTTACGGCATAGCTAGAATATTACTAGGGCAAGAAAATGTCTCTGGATATTCTATATTCATACGCTGCTAGCAAAAAATACTACTACCTGCTCTAATACTGGTTTTTGTTTTTTATTTTTTTCCCTGGTACCAGAGATCAAACTCAGTACCTTCTGCTTGCCAGGCAGTTGCATAAGCCACTGAGCTATATCCCTGACCCTTTTTTAAAAATAATATTTATATTTTTCTTTGTTATTTATTGGATACAGGGTCTCTACACAACTCAGACTCTAGTGAGGCCTCTGGGCAGTCATGGCGCAGCAGGGTATATGGTACCAGGGATTGAACTCGGGCAAACCCGGGTTCTTGTGCTTGCCAGGCAGGCGCTTAGACCACTGAGCTATCTCCCCAGTGTTCTCTAATACTGTTTTTAAACATTACAAGCTATTTAGAATTTTGATTTCCATGTAGAAATAATGTTTCAAAACCAGATTTTACATGAATCACTAATTTTTAATTCCATATTTTGAAATTTGCCATCAGTTTTCCCAAATACCACAGAGATGCTTCTCAATAACTATGAAAAATCGAGGAATGTTTTTATCTTAAAAGATTTTACATGGAAAGATTACGGTTATTTTGGAGCTGAGAGAGTTTTCTTTCTATCATAAGTAATAACAAACTTAATAGGCTGTCAGTGACAAAGATTAATGTCTCTATAGTTGGCAAGTTGAGAGGATAAAAGCAGGTCTAAAGGCATGTACTTGGATGAAGTGTGTGTGTAAGCCATACTCGCATCTGACCGGGACTAACAAAGGCCTCTTTTTAACACATGACTGCTTGCAACTTGATGTTTTTCATCAGCTGAGATGATACGTGTCAAAATCCCCTAGGCTGTCTTCTAGCTTAATTCCTATTTGGGCCACGTAAGTTAAATATTAAACATCAGTACTAAATGCCAGACTACCTAGCCTGGCACAGGCTAGAAAGTACAACAAATATTTGTAAAATAAGTAAATATATTTTTGCAGTTATCATACTATTTCAGGAACATCTAGTGCTTGATTGTTTATCAAAGGTTATCTGGCTATCTAGGAACTATAAAGTCAGTTTTCTTATTCCCGTTTTACAAATGGGCAAACAGCTCAATTAAGTCCTGAAGAGCCAAAGGTCACAGCTACTAAGCAACAAAACCAAGTTTGAATCTGATTGAAATTCTGTACCCAACTGCCCAAGTTTCTTTAGTAGTTATTGGCATAGTCAAGGTTCTCTTTTTCCTGGCACTTTGGAATTTTTATTTCTTCTGGAATTTTATTGACTCCAACTGTTGACACACAGTTCATGGTCGTGTGTGTAAGCCCATGTTTGTTCCTGAGCACTCTTTCCATGGACTAAGAGCGAACCCTGGAAAAATTCAAACAGGTCTGAAATTTTCATTCTTTCATAGTGTTTGTGTCTTCTCCTTTTCTTGGCTTTTGTCCATCTTACTGGTGCTTTCAGGAAACAGTCAGCTTTGGTTTTGTTGGTCTTCTCTGTCTTTTAAAATATATTACTGGTTTCTGCCCTGGCTTTTTACTGGGGACACTCAGTTGTCACCGTCTCTTCATTGGCCTGGCTTCCTGGTATGTTTCGGAGCCATCTTTATTAGCTCACTATTCCTCCCTTTGAGCAAACTCAAAAGTCCTCCTCTTAGGCTCCTGAAATGTCTCCTAAATCGGGGTTTCCTGTGTCCCCTGTTCTGACCTAAAAGATGCCTGTCCCTTCAGTAATTTTCTGTCTGCCTGCTCTACTTACTATTTCTCCCACAAGGACAGCAGCGATGCTTCTCTAAAAGAGATTTCCTCCTTCCTCCTCTTCTGTCTGCTATGAAAAGCTGTAACAAATCAAAGCGGGCAGCGTCCTGAGCACACTTCCCAGGCCTATGGCTGTGTTCCAACCTCATCTATTACCAACTCCCTTCCTGAACAGAATTCCACGCAGAAACTGTCCAGATCATTAAGAACAAAACTGTGCTGTCCTCTTACCAAAACCCTATCCCCGTTCAGTGGTGCTTCTTCCTTGGAGCCTCTGTCCAATCCCCAGCTAGTGAAAGCTACTGTGTCCCTCCCGCGGAACACTGCAAATATTTGCTGGGGTAGATCTGTTGAACTGAAGATCACTTTGTCAATTGAAAACTTACAAAGTTGAGTGGAACAGACATCCTGCAGGTAAGCTCAAAATGCCAAACTATCCAGTTGAAACAGACATTTTGCTTCATAAAGTCAGGTTGTCCATTTATACGTGGTATATCTTTGGCACCTCTGTATGCTAAGGCATTTCTCAGAAAGTACACCTCTTCCAGAGAGGCTAGCGCCTTGTCCTCTCTCTTTCAAAATTCTTCAGTGTCTGCTATAACCTACTGTAATCACTTTATCAGGGGATGTCCTGGGCAGAAATTCCTTATCTCTTACTAATTCCACTAGTACTATATACATTATGATCGATCCTTCTAAAATCACACTAGGAAACTTGCCAACACAACTGAAAATTTGATATAGACCAAGTCTTTTTTTCTTCCACCAATACATAAGTAACAGAGGTTTGTCATTTTGAAATAAAATTATTTTTATTAAGAGGCACATAATAGTAACTTGAATTCTGAAAATCATTTGTAATATCTAGTTTTAAATATCTGAAAATCTTATCACGTTTTATTGTTTACCATTTTTAAAGCCACTGCCTGCAGCTTTTACTGTGTTCATCTGCCGTTTCTCACAGAGGAATAATGTTTTAAAGGTAGAAAAGTGTTTTCGTTAGTCTCATGGATCCAACCACAAAATGAAGACCTCAGACATGCAAACTACCAGTCATCTAGACTGGATTGTATATCCCCAGCCTGTTAGATTTTCAGCAGTTTCATGAGAGAATCCAGCTCTCTTTGGTGAAATTAAAATTGAAATTCTAAGCAGGCAGCTCTTAAATGCAGTAATTTGTTCTGCAGAATTCTAAATGTAAATTAGGATCCCCTCACTGGTCTGCAGTGGTTCTCAAACTGTGGTTCCTAGATCAGGGATATCACTAGGAACACGAAATATTTTTATCACACCCTACTCAAGACCTGATGAACTGGAGTCAGGGGTGGAGCCCAGATTTCAGCATGTCATCCAGGGACTCTGTTGCATGCTTGTTTTGAGAGCACTGAGAACAGACATGGCCCCAGTGTCAGATCCCGAAAATGTGTAGTCACTGTGGCCGTGAGCCACACAGGCTGTTAGGAGTGCTGGACTAGGAGATTTCGTAGAATTCATATAGCTCCCCATGGCTTTTTTAAAAGGTCGGTGAGCTCTGTACCAGCCCTGTGGGAGAATTCCCACTAAAGGGAGTTGAGAGGCCATCAGTTAGTTAGACAGATAACCTAGAACAGAAGCTTCATGTTAGATTCCAGACTTGCACAGAATTGTAGGCCTGTCCCGAGGAGTGTGCAGCCACGCAGTGTACTTCTGCTCTACTTACTGCTGGAACACTGCAGCTCTAATCCCAAGTCTTTCAAGAAATGAGGTCCTTTATCTCCTCTCCAAAGCCTTAGTATTCTCATTCTAAAACTTTCCAAATAATACATTGGCTCCTTGCTTTTCACACGCCCTGTCTAGTTTTTGCTTCCCTGCTAAGGTTACAGTGGTTAAAAGTCAACATGTTGACGTGGGTGTCCACGGCTCGATTTCTTGTGATGGGAAAAAGGACCAGGGAAGAGAATGAAGTCTGATTACTCCAGGGATATAGTCATATTGTGACACCTCATCCAACCCTGCTAAGAAACCAGAGCAGGAAGATAGCAATCAAAACCTCTTTAGTGCCACCAGTATTCCAGTGAGACCCTAAATTCCAGCAAGTCCACATGCCCCTGGCACAGGAGGTACTCAGCAAATACTTTAACAAGCAAAACAACCATCTCAGGAAATGCAGACTTGTTTTCTAACGCTTACCTGTTATTTTCCCTTTATCTCAGAATCTTTGAAATGCTTCATTTTGCCTATCACCAATCGTTCCTAACATCATTTGTGTCCCAAGCAACATGCTGGGTGCTGGGAGGCACCACTGTGGACAGGATACAGCTCTGCTCTCTTAAAGACCCATATCTAGTGGAATTGGCCGTATCCCCAGGCAATCATAATGAAAAGTGCTAACACTGGTGGCAGGGAGCGCAAAGACGTGCAGCTAACTTGAGGTCAGCCACACTAGGGGCCTGGAGCGCAAGGCCAGCGCATAGCTGGAGGTGGAGTTGGCTAACTTCCTGTCCTTCCTGGGTTGGTGAGCAGCCGTCTTTGAGCCCCTGAGAGAAACTACTGATACCACATGACGGCGAGTGATGCTACTGCAAGACCCAGCATATGAATAAGTAATAAGTACTGTGCTCGTCTAGTACAGAGTTCTACAAGCCAAGCCTTCATTATTTTTTAACTGTATGCCCTGGATACTGTTTTTAAGAGAACAAGGAGAATCTGATTATGACTTGTAGAATTATGCAGGAAACTCTTCCATTCCAACAAGGAGAAATTGTCAACTTTTTCATTTTACTTCAAGTGAATCACATGTGTGAATTGAAGTACATTGGTAATTGGATTAATATTTTAAAGTCTTTTTAAAAAATAATTTTTCAAGTTTGATCTTTTCCTTAATTAGTTTCCAGTTTTCATAATCAAATGAAAATGCCCAGAACACTTAGAAGGACTAATTGTTGCCCAATGTGGTGGCACATGCCTGTCATCTCAACTACTCGGGAGCCCAGGCAGGACGACTGAGTTTGAGATCAACCTGGACAACATAGTGAGACCACATGTCCACAAAATAAATTCTCAAAGACCTAACTTCCGTTTGTGGATACCCGAGAGGAGTATTCCATCTCTGTCAAATGAAAACATCTTTCTGAAAATGGGCAGGCAGGCATCCCCATTCAGAGAAATCCTGGTAACTTAACATATTAACTCAATAGGTGCTATGAGCCATTGGAGCCTTGGCAGGATTTTTTTTTTTAGTGGTACCAGGGATCAAACTCAGGACCTTGAGCTTGCCAGGCAAGCACTTACTCCACTGAGCTATTTCCCCAGCCTCTTGGCAAGATTTAGGGAAAAGCTATCCCCAGAAAGTTCTTTTCCCAGCGCTCACCTGAAACAGCGTGTTTGGCCCTTGCAGCCTGGCAGGACTCAGTGGAGCGACCGGACTGAGGCTGCTCCAGAAATGTATGCTCGAAAGCAGCGGGCTCGGGGTCAGAAGCAATCCGCTTGGAGTCTGGGGAACAGAGCAGACAGATCTTGACAGAGGTTTGCCCGACTGCAGGGGTGATACAGCACAGCACAGCACAGCACAACACAACACAACACAAAACAGAGGTTCAGTGCACCAGCCACGGACCAAGCGGCAAGCCTGCCATCTCCAAAAGCCCAGGCTGAGAACATGTGTTCATTGTTTTTGTTTTTGCTGTTTGAGACAGGTCTTGCTGTGTGGCCCAGGCTGGTCTTGAACTCACTAGGTAGCCCAGACTGGCCTTGAATTCACATGGTGGTCTTCCTACCTGCCCCTCCCAAGCATGGGGATTACAGGTATGTGCCACCAGGTGTGGCAACTGTAATTTTCTTCAGTGCTTACTTTATTAGCAGTGTATTAAGGAAAGGGGTTTTCACAAGTTACTCTTCCTAAAACATTCTGATTGGAAACTCGAACTGGAAGCAACTTTTTTTTTTTTTTTTTTTTTTTTTTGTGATATAGGAGATTGGACTCAGGACCTTGTACTTGCCAAGAAAGCACTTATTCTACTGAGTTATCTCCCCGGCCCTGGGAGCAACTTTTGTCCAAGTGAAGTCTTCAAATCGCTCCCCTCCCTTGTCCCAGATTAAACAAAATTTAGCAGACACACACAACAGGACCCCATAAAGGGATTTACTTTCTTAGCTAATCATTTTTCTAAGAGACGTTTATTATGTGGGTTACAAGTGCAGGCGCACACCCATGTTTTTAAAAGGGCCCTGGATCTTCACTTCCCATTCTGAAGGGCCCTTTAATAGTTGAGGATCTGCCCTTAAAAGACGCTATGGTCGCTTCCTGAGAACCTCTAAGCTGCATTTTCCAGACTTCACTGCTGAAGCCAGATGCCTCGCCCTGTAGTGGGAAGAGGGTTCTTTCTTGTCGGGCCTGGTGTGAAGCCAACACTGTGCGCTTCCCGGGAGTGCCAAGGCCCACACTAGCTTGCACACCCCAGCTGGAGTCCTGGCCCACAAGCTGGCTGGAAGGCAGAAGAGACAACTGGAGCCCCTGGCAAATCTGCAGGCTTTTATTCTCAGCAGGCACAAACTCCCTGGCCCCTTTGGCGACTGCAAGGAGCCCCTCTGGACGTGTGCTGTCAGTGGGGTGCTGCGTGTGAGAAGAAGGCCCAGGCCAAGGGGCCAGCACGGCAGATCACATCGAGGACAGATGCTCAAGGGCCAGCTTCCCCCAGGATTGGCTTCCGTAGCTTCACTAATTATCAAGAGGACTTGGGCTTAGCCCGAAAGGTCCAGTCTATTTAGGAGAATGGAGACACATCCACAGGTCTTCCAACTGGGAAGTGCTACAAGGTAAACAAATGTATACCCGATTAGCTGAGTCTTCAGTTTGGTGGCATTTCCCACATGCTGAATGACCTGCAAGGTTACTAGGATAAGTACACCTTTGAATAAGCCCTGCATTGTCCTCACAGGTAATTTCACAAGGGCTCCAGGCCCATCTGGCCTTGTGGTTAAGGATTAACAGCTGTGTGTGAGATCGACCAGGGCTCCAAGCTCAGAAACACTACTTACTGGTGGGGTAGGCTTAGCCGACAACCTAACCAGCCTCTCTCTGCCTCAGTTTCCCAGTCTGTGAAATGGGGAGACTAAAACTGCCTGCATTACAGCGTTGCTGGGAAATTAGGAAAGACGATGCTATTATATCTAAGCCTTTTATGATGTGCCTGGTGTATAGAAATGTGCAACAAGTATTAGAAACTGTATTCACTCTACCTAGTCCATATCCTTGAGGAAACACATTTGCAGTTAACTAAAAGTGTACCTGCTAAATAGATTTCATCTCTCCATGAAGGAGGTTCCTGATCGTACCTAGAAAAGTACCTAACGGTCCAAAACCGACAGCCTCAGATGAGTCAGCCTTCCTCTGCGGCTCCACTGGGCTGACAGGCAGACTCAGGCCTGCATGTCACTGTGGACCAGGCTCCAACCACAATGTGTGTCGTTAACATTTAAAAGCCATTGAAGGATTCTCAGAGTCTGAAGCAACGGTCCTCTTCAGCATCAAACACAGCTACACCATAAATACACACCCTTCCCATTTTAATCCTCTGGGCAATATGTATGATTTAGAATTTAGATTCCATAGTCTAAAATTGGTGCCTATGTCTGGATTTTCAATGTCTGCACATTTGTTGCCCAGGGATACGGGATGTACTCAGAATACAGTGGCCTTCTGTTCCTCGTGGTTAACATGTTTGAAATGTCTCCTATAATATATGCAAATAAACCCTGTGAAGTGACTTCATCTGCCGCTTTCCCTCCCATCCCTGCTCCCTGCAGATCCTGTGGCCTTAAGGAAGAAACTATTTGGTTACTTTCTAAAGGAAAGTTAAAGTCTCCCTTGGGTTATCTTCAGGACAGTGGGAACTTCTACAACCTCTCTCCCTGGCTTCTAGAGCCAGGCAAAGAGGGCTCAAGAGTGAAGCCAGGGGCCAAATGCACACTTCCTGTTCCTCCACAAGAGGCATGCTTGTCTTAACAAATGACCAGAGGGTGCTCCTAGTCCCCCAGGCCACCAGGGAAGGGCCTCACCTACCCACGGTAAGGGGCGTTCATCTCCAAGGGCAAGGGCTCATACCAGTGACTTGTTTTCCACCTCCTACTTAATCCTGACTCCTAAGATACTCGGCCCTGTGAGTATCTTCCCAGGTGAGCTGGCCTCCTCTGCTGTGTCCTTGTTCAGGACACTTTGCCTGGGCCATGCCCTCCAGCCACCTTCTCTTTCCTGCTTCTGCTTCCCTTTACCCGTCTAAATGCCACCTCCTTACAGAAGACTGTCCTGCTAATGCCTCAGCCAGATGGGATTTCTCCTCTGCTTGCTGAATTGTTAGAACACTGTGTCACCATCTTTCTTCTTAACATTCAACATGTTCTGCCTCCTGTTGTGGTAATCTGGATGTCTTGCCCATCTTCTTTCTGCAGCCTACAAGGGGATTGCTCATCCTCATCTTTTCTGGAGTACTCAGCACCTGAATACTCTAGGGGCGTCCTGTCCGCTTGCTGCTCCGCGGCTGACATCTCCACTTGAAGTTCCCTGTTCCTTCCAACCTGAGCACGTCACCTCCCTCCCTCAACCAGTGTTTAAGTCTTCCTTGCTAACTTCACCACTCATTTATGTAGCCCACTGACAAATACCAAGGGCATTGTTGGAGTGAGCTAGACCATCAGCCCTTGGTCTCCTAATGCTTCCTATTTGACCCCCAGCATGAGCCATCTGTGTGTGTGTGTGTGTGCACGCGCGTGCGTGCGCGTGCGTGCATGCATGTGCATGCCTTCCTATGGCCAGGTCCCTAAGTCATAAAAATAGACACTTGTACTATCCTTTTGATGTCTTGCTAAAAATTAACACAATAATTATCTGTTGATGGATCCTAATACAGAATTTTTGCTTTACCGGACATACAACTCCAGAAGCTGTCAATTTCCCATCAAAGTAAGTTTGAATTCCGTAGGCATTTTTTTGGGTCCTCCATACATACCACCCTAAATTGTCTATTGCCCCATTGTCTTGCTCATCCACAACCAGTAAGCTCATGACAACAGGATCTTGGTCTCTCCTGCTAACCTCTGTATCCCAGGTAGCTAGCAACTACCTCACAACTTGATAATTATCTCCCAAGTGAATTATTTGACTGACTAAAGAGGATATGAATAAATTCCCTATAAGAAGTAATCACTGACTACTTGATTTGATGATTTGAGATAACAGTAAGTCATTCAACCTTTAGGGACAAGAAAGAAAAAAGGCAAAATGTTTACTGAGCTATTTGTGTAACCATCTCTAATTTCAAACTCAAATGGGTGTCAACCAATCCCTGAAAATGCTACCTTCAGTTTAAAAACAATCTCAAATAAAAAGTGACTTAATTTCTAAAAAAAAATCTCTAGAGTTGTAATTGAAATTAAGGAAGGCATGATTTTAAGGACTTTTAAAAACGTGTTTAGTATAGGGTCTTACTACACAGATCAGACTCATAGTGATCCTCCTATTTTCAGCCTCCCAAGCGCTGGGATTATAGGTGGGGCTGGCATGGCACACTGGGGATCAAACCCCAGTCCCTGTACCTGCCTAAGCAGGTGATTTAGCCCTCTGAAGCTATCTGGCCAGCCCTTTAAGGACTTTAAAAGAGGAACAAAGTCCCGCAGAAGTTTGTAGCACTCATCTTAAAAGAGGACAAAATTAAGAGGCTCACCTTGGGCTTGATAGGTACTGAAAGTGACAGGGGAAGATCCAGACACCTGAAGAAGGAATGGAGGAGCAAGGAGGGGAAAGAGGAGGAGGTCCCAGAGTGGAGAGACGAGGGCAACCTCAGCCAGAGGAACCAAGAACCTCTGCCTAGAGTGACATCTCCTACAGAGAGCTCCTTTAAGGATACTCTCTGGCCTGGGTGGAGAAAGCACGGGAAATGGAACAGTCAGAAGAGGCTGGGCTCTTTTTCTCCTTTGAGAATAATAGAAAAGATACAGCAAGAGGAAAGCCACAGCAGAGCCAGGCTAGGAGGGCTGCGCCCTGACTGCCGCTCACCACACACTGGTGGCTTCAGATCCCACGGGCTGACTTTGGCTCCAGGCTGCTTCCCCAGCCTGTAGCAACGTTTCCGGGCCTCAGACCTCCACGCTGTCTGCACCCCATCAGCACTAACCCAGACTGCTGCTAACAAAACACCTCGGAGCACGCACGTTTGGATTCCCAGTGCCGCACGTGTGAGTCCAGCATAAAAGCCCAGCACAGGGAAGATGATCACAGGTCTTGGCAAAAGTCTTGGCATTCTAAATCCATGTCCCCAATTAAGGTAACTGGCGGGAGGGACTGAACAGGAAGACAAATAAGAGGAAGAGGGAGCGATGATACCAGGACACAAACGACACCGAGAAGTGGGTGTTCCAGCTGGCACCCCTCAGGCTGCTGGGGTGCCTGGCCCGGGCCCAGGAGGGCTTCATACACCAGCTTCTCCGCCTCTCCGTGTCTTCTCCACTCTCGGTGTCCCCTCTCAGCTGTGCCAACAGACAGACAGCCTTGCTTTTCAGCAATGCTCAAAAATGACCTCGGAGGCCAAGCTGCAAGGTCGCCACTCCCTGGTACCCACTGGCTTTTGTGTTCAAGTTTTTCAGTTTCTGGTAGTCCTGTGTTCCTGGGGTCTTTGAGTGACCATCCTGTTGACCTCAATAATCTTTATTTGGGACAAAATCAAGGACCTGTCATAAGGCCCCTGGAGAGAGCCCACATTGTATGGCATGGGTCTGACCAAGACTCTTGTATCCTCCTCCCTGCCATGTGTGGAGCTGAAAATGACCAATTTTGGGATTCTCATTGCAGTGGGGTCCCTTACAACACCCATCCTCTACTTCTAAAGCTGGGCAGAGCTCAGAGGAGCAGCCCACAGATTCCCAAATGCCGTGTGCCTACTGGCTCCGATGGCGCAAGGCCAGCCCACAAGAGGACAGAAGCCTTTCTAGGGCTGAAAGAGTCTCCGTTGTGGCACCTCTCTCAGGTCAATGTTCCCATTAGCCCTACCAAAGAGAGCCTGCCTCCGTTCCCAGTATTCAGGACCAAAGCCACAGGACAAGTGGGGGCCAGGGTCCTCTGAGACAGACAGGGCTGGCATGAGTTCCTCGTTCTGGCTCACAGAAAAGGCAGACACCAAGACTGAAGCGGGAGCTGGCCTTGGCCTGCCTCTGGGCCCTTCCTGACCTTACTGCTAGAAACAGGCCAAGGGGGGAGCTGCTCAGACTGCCCCCCAGGCCACAATCAGTACTGCCCTGAGCTCCCGGCCTTATGCCGGCTGGTCCTGTCACCAGACAGTCCCACCTCCGTTCTAGCCTGTCCCCCAGGCCTGGCCCTCTGTTGCAGAACCCTGAAAATCTGTAAATTGGCAGGTCCTAGAAAGCTTCATCCGCTGCTCTGTAGACCCACAGGCTGTGTCACGTTCTGTCACATGTGGGCCGTGGATTCTTTGGGCACACTGCCTACACCGAAATCACTTTTGCTGCCTCCCAGCAGTGTGACCCTGGACAAGAGGTCATGCTGACCTCTTGCCTGAGGGAACAACAGCGTGTCTAACATGGGGCTTGTAGCCAGGCCCAGCATCCAAAGGACAGGGCTGCCACACGCAAGAGCTTGGTGTCTGCTGCTGCTGTTCATGGAGAAGAGGAGGAAGGACACAGACGCATCCCCACTAACTGAGCGCATGTCCCCAGTCTGGGACCCCAAATAATACCAGTTCCAGTCCCTGCCAGTGAGTGGAAGCTGAGTCATGCAGCCCGGCCTTTATCCCGAGCCATGTTCATGATGGACAGCTAAGCCTACAGCCCCCTCCCAGCAGGCTAACTAGCGGGTGCTGAGTCCAAGTTCACAGTCCCCCAAACACAACTCAGGCTCTGCCACGAAACCACATCCAAGAGCAGGCGGAAACAAATGTGGCTGGCCAGCACCACTTCACCTTTGCCCAGCCCCTGGCAGCTGGGCCACACAGAACTACTGGGTATTTTGCTTTTTATTTTAATTTTTGGTTAATTCAATTCAATTAAATTTAACTTTATTTTATTTTATTTTGTTTATTTATTTGTATTTTAGGGAAAGATCTACAGGGTGTTCAGGGCCTCACTACTAGATCAGATTCGTAGTGATCAGCCTGTTTACAGCCTCCCATGAGCTGGGATTACAGGCATGTGCGCCACCACGCCCAGTCTCAATTACTGACTCGGCACCCTGGGGGCGGGGCCGGCAGGGATCCAACCCCCAGCCCCTGAGCCTGCTTGCAGGTGCTTTAATCCACTGAGCTATTTAGCTGGCCCTTTTAATTTTATTTATCTTTTGGAGACAGGGTCTTATTGAGTCACTAGGTGACCTAGGCTGGGCTCCTGCGATCCTCCTGCCTCTGCTGGGGTCAAGTTTACACTCTGTTTCTGACTTAATTGCTGTCAACCTGCCTTCTGGACTCAGTGAGGCCCTGGCCTTTCAGAGCCACATGAAGGCTCCACGCTAGCGTCACCAATGGTGGAGTCTGTGAATGTCTATTTTCTGTTCACACAAGCACCTACACCAAGTACCCCAGAGGGGCCTCTGCCACAGCTTAGTGCCTCCGTAAGTGTGAAAACCCAGCTACTCAGCCTTGAAATTCACTCTCTGGATCTTCTCTGGTGGCTGGTGTACTTGTCCCATCCGTTACCTTAGACGCTCAGCCAGAACCTTTCTGTCCCCAGTATGCCCAACCACTGCCCCAGGGGGAAAGAAACTCCCTTGTCGTTTACGTCTTACAGGGCGAGCCTTGGGAGAGCAGGAGGAGGTGGCTTTGGCTAAGCCTGGACCCCAGCGCCACCCTTACCTGCGCGGTGAAGAAGGCGGGGGTGAGGGACCCCGAGGGGAGCGCTGGGCTGTTGAGGGCGATGGAGCCGAGGTCGGCGCCTGAGAGCACCAGCGGGGGTGCGGAGATTTCCAAGCCTTTGGGTTTTTTGCCTTTGGGGGGAAGAGATGGAGACTTGGTCTTGGAGCCCGATGACAGGTTCAAGGGCTCCAGGGAATCCGAGTCTTGGCCGCTGGCCTCTAGGAAGAGGCTTCTGTGTTCGGAAGGGAGGGGTGAGTTGGGGGACAGGGATGGGGACCGAGAGGAGGAGGGCGACACGGAAGAAACGCTGGCGGTGTTTGGCAACATTAAAGAGGAGATCTTGGCTGAGACGGACGAGGCCAGGAAGGCGGAGGCTGCAGCAGCCTCGGAGGTGGAGGGCAGGGACACCACGGGCCTGGTGACGTGCTTGTTGCTTTTATTGGTCACAAACCTGATCACAGTCCGGACTTCTTCTACTGGGGGGCTGTCTTCAAGGGGCTCCTCCAGCTTCTCCGTCTTGATGGCCTTGAAGGCCTCAGGGGCGTTCTGCAGGGAGTTGATGGTGAAGGAGGAGTACAGCCCCGAGTGGATGTACTCGTTGCGGCTGGCGCTCTTGAGGGCAGCCAGGCCATGCTTGTCCGGGGCCACCTTACAGTCGCTGTCCTGCAGCAAGAGGCTGTCCCGGCTGATCTCCACCGTGTGCGGATCCATTTTCAGGATCTCGGGGAAGGAGACGAACTTGTACACAAACTTCTGCCCAATCACCTTCTTGATGATGTTCTGTGAATACACAAGGAGACATTTAAGGTGTAAACGCCCCTGACAGCCTGGGGGACGCTGCTGGCAGAAGCACCGCGGTGGTCCCCATGGGCACCCCTGGAGGGACAGGGAGAAGAGCCAGCCTGCAGGTGGAAGGGCCCGACCTGAGTTGGGCTCTGCCGAGCAGCAGGGGAGGCCTCTGGCACACTGACGGCCATCTGTGCTCCGTAAAGGGAGGATTATTATTCCTGATAGCGTAGTACAGTCACTGTGTCGTAAGCCCTTACTGTGTGGCTGGGATTCTCATATCTTGCATTGTTAGATAATCTGTATAGCAATCCTAGGGGGGAGAAGCTGGTATTCCCCTTTTAAAAATTAAAAGGGCTGGGAATGTGACTCAGTGGTAGAGCAATTCATGCCCAAGGGCCTGAATTTGATCCCCAGCACCCCAAATAACTAAATAAATGAAGGAAGGAGAGAGAGAGAGAGAGAGAGAGAGAGAGAGAGAGAGAGAAAGAAAGAAAGAGAAAGAAAGAAAGAACTTCAGAATGCTTAAATACCCGCAGGCAGGGTACGGCAGCACCTCTGGAGCCACACACCAGCACTGTCTCGCCTACCTCAGGAGGCATAAGAACGTGATACCATCAGAATGGGACGCGCTACAGAAATGCAAGTTACCATCACCAAATGCCACAGCATTTCCTTAAGTCATGTAGCCATTTTTGCCTCTTTCATTTTCTGCCAAGAAAGCCAGTGGAGGAAAAACACGCTGTCTGCTTGGATATTTATGACATCCATGTAGTAGTTTCAGAAGCTGGTATCTGCTTCTGGCTGTTCAGTTCAGGCTGCAGTGCACCAGTGTTGGGGACGTAAAGGACCCAGGAATCGCTGCAGACGTTTCCCCAGTGCTTTGCAAACAGGGAGTTTCTAGGAAAGGGCGGATGCTCCTTGAGGGTAACTAGACGGGTGCACTGAGTCCCCATGGAACGTACCAGAGTGCGTATTTGTCTTCAAACGCTTAGTGCTGCCACACCCTGCAGTTTACTTACAGGTCCCAGCAGACCAGCGTGGCTCCCTGTTCTCTAAGGGACACAACCATGACCTCCCTTTTGCACACACCATCACAGCCCTCTGGTGGACAGGACTCTGACTAGCTCCTTGTAATCTGTTCTCGCTGGAAGGGGAGTATAAATGAGGGTGAAGCCAAAATCCTTTGGGGAAGAAGTGCTTCAGAAATAGCTTTCTGAGTAGCTTTCTAGATCCGGCAAGCCGGCCCAGAGGCTGCCACACCCACCCTCCTGGAGGGCAGACGCCATTGTCCTCCCATCTCCAGACATGAACAGTTTCAGAGGTGGGGGTCGTGTGCCCAAGAACTGCCAAGAGTGACTAGCTCTGAAGCCTGCTTTCTCACCTCCACAGACATGAAAACCCCCTCAGTAGTTGTGAGATATCATTAAATTTAAATTTGTGACCATGTTTTGGGTGTAATCATAAGCCTGTTAGGTAACACACCAATACCACCTGCATGCCATCTTGTCACATTATAGCATTCTGCTTTGCCTCTTGCCCCTTTAAGCAGGAGGGAAGGCCACACCAAACATGTCACTGAGATTTTCAAGACAGAATTCCTAGGGGCCAGTATCTAACGGAGGGACATACCAAGCCCCTGCTGACAGCAAATCCCAGGCCTGACAGTCCCAGAGAAGCCTTGCCCACCAGAACCCAAACTGAGGCACACAGGAGAGTAGGTTCAAAGCTGAGCGGCTGCAGTAGCCAGCACGTGGGGGCTCAGGCCTGCAGCTCCCCACCACCGAATCCCATTCCCGAGCTGAGCTCAACCCCACACCCATACAGGAAAACCTGGGGAGAGACTTGGGAAACTTGTCTGGCAGTCTCTGCTACATACACCCCGGGCTTGGGTAGAGAATGTGCCAGGGAAAATCAGCTCTTAGCAGGGAAAGATTAAATATGGGTGTCACAGGGCCTGGAGTTAGACCCTGCTGTCCAGTGTGCTGGCCCAGAGTATAAACACCTCCCTGCTAAAACTCTATAGAGTATTTTTGTTTCTACTTCATAGTATTTTCTTCCCTGGGGGAAAACTTTTATTCTTTTTCCTTAACCAGTTGGAACCCTCATCTAAATTGAACTTTTTAAAAGCCTAAATAATTATACAAAAGAAAGGAATAGAGAAACTGGAGAGTTAGAATGATTTCTTTTGGCAGATCTTATAAACTAATTGTTTTTTTTAAAAAAAAAACTTTTAATTTTCTTACAGGCTCAGAATATAATGTCTGAGGAGAGATTATGTTCCTAAACAAACCAAGGAATAATTTAGGGCTGTGATAAATGTGATTTTTTAAAAAATGTCTCTCCTCCATAAACAATGATCAGGAATGGAAAGGCAGTCAGATACAGAGCCCTGGGCCTTCCGAGGTGAAAAAGAACACAAGGAATGTCCATGTATCTACCATGGGCAAATGGCTTTGTGGTGGGTTCTTACCAAGGAAGGAAGCCCCATACCACTATAACACCAACGCACCCAGCACTCGTGCTGAGCGAAGTGACCCAGATCCTGGGTCATAAAGGCCACCCATTATATAATCCTACTTACAGGAAATCTCCAGACAAGCAAAATCCACAAATCTGAAAGTAGGGTCTGGTAACCTAAGGCTGAGAAGGATAAGGGAGTTTGGGGCAGGGCTGATGGCTCAAAAGGTACAAGTAACGAAAACGTTCTACAGTCAATTATGGGAATGGACGGGTGGATCGGAGTCTAAGCAAAGCTACTCCACTGTATATTTTAGGGGAATTTATGGCGAGTGATCTGTAGCTCAGTAAAGCGCCTGAGTGACAGCACATGCCTGTAATCCCAGGCACAGGCTGAGGCAGGAGGGTCACAAATTCAAGCCCAGCCTGGGTAACTTAGCAAGACACTGTCTCAAAATAAGAAGACATAAAAATGAAAAAGCTGTGGATGTGCTCATTCTCTCCACCCCCACCACACACACCCCACATAGACTTTTCAAATATATTCCCTGTTTTATTTATTTAAAAATCATTTATTTATTTATTTATTTGGTACAGGGTCTGGCTACCCAGCTCAGACTTGTAGTGATCCTCCTGTCTCAGCCTCCCCAGTGCTGGATTACAGGCATGCACCACCATACCCAGTTTAAAATTAATTAATTTTTTTTTGTACCAGGAATTGAACTCAGGACCTTGGGGTTGCCTGGCAGGCTCTTGTGCCACTGAGCTATATCTCCAGCCCTATTTTCCCTGTTTTATAGGAAGACAGCAAGCACTTTCCACAGCTAGGCACTGACAGCCATCAACGGCTGACTCTTCCTGCACAGATACAAAGGGGTCAGAAGGAAGGGCCTGCGCAGGCCACCCTGAGAGGTTTCCAGGGAAAGTTCAGCCAGTGGGGGGGGGGGAGCCAAAAGGAGCAAGTGGTAGTTAAAACCTTGCACTTGGGTGGCCAGGTGGCATCCAGATGACACCCGGACAGTCGAGCCTCCACCCCTGGCCAATCCAGAGGATGACACAAGTCTGCAGGACTTGGGTAGGGAGGGCTCTTACTGGACAAGTGACGAAGATGCTCAGAAACAGCCTATTTGTCACCCTTCCATCCCAGACTCCCAAGTATTTGTTGTTTCCAGTTGCCTGGTAACCTAAGGCATGCTGGCCAGCCTCCCGGGGAGCACAGGGACTCTCAGTGTGGTCGGCGACACACAGATGCACACACACATCTTCCTCCTTTGCACACGCAGCACCTCAGAATGTGTGCAGGCCATCAGCCTGAGTCCTCACCCAGTTTCCCCGGTCAGGCACCGGCAGCAAGGTTAGCACTCCACCCAGGACAGGCCCCAAGAAAAGGAGGACAGTGGAGCCCAAGATGAACGCACTGTCACCCTACCCGTGGTGTCATCTGGCAGTGAAGGAGCCTTGAGTACAGGCAACCCAAGGGGGACAGGAATATGGCAGTCGGGGGCCCAGGGCCTTTTCCCACTCAGCTCCCAGGAAAAGCCCTCACAGTAATTTCACCCCAAAAGACAGGAAACACCAATTACAATTATTTACAGTGCTGCCTGCTGTTCTGACAAGTTATAGGTGTTCCTGAAAGGACAGGTGTGGCCATGGGTGTGTTTAAATATCCTTGTACGCGCGTGTGTGTGCACACATGTGCGCGCGCGCACACACACACACACACACACACACACACAGTCCACCCTGCCTTCTGTCTTTGAAGAGAAAAGGGAGCCTGTGGAAAGAATCCCAAACACACCACCCAAACCCGCTCACATCCCTTACATTATAAAATAGCATGGCATTTACATACCCCGCTTACACTTTAATCTCAGAGTCCTTAGAATGCCTTACACAATATGAATGCTATAAAAAGCTTCTACTGTATTTATGGAATAATGATAAGGAATAAAAAGCCACACACATTCAGGATTGATGCAATTTCTTTTTATTTTTTTCCCAAATATTACCCATCCCAAGTTGCAGTGGTAGCTGAGAAGCATTTCTATTAGGTGTTATAACTTAAAAAAAAAAAAAATTATACAGAGAAATAGATAATGAAGAGATGCTCACGGAGTGAAATTTACTTTCTCTTCATAATTCTATGATGTTAAGGTGATACTGAGACAAATTAACTAAATGCTGGTGGAGTGAATAACTCACCGCAGGGAGCAGTGACCCACGCAGGGCGCCAGGGGCTCGGGCCAAGCAGATGCTTGCTCCCAAGGGCCAGTTCCCAGGCTGGCGGGAGCTCTGTGCGTTGCCGAGACGCACACAGGCTTTTCTGCTGGCATTTTGAAAGTGAGCTTTTGTAGACACTAGGGCCATATGTACATCTTTGCCGCCGACAACCTCACACCTCCCTAGAGAGCTCAGTGAAGCACAAAGTCACCTGCCCACTGGCTCAGTGAACATGTCCCCATGTGTCTGTCCATCTGTGCCACTCAGCAGGGTCTCACCCATGCGTCTGGCTTTCATGCACCCACACTTCTTAG